CTCACCCCCCAGAAAGGGTACCCGATGTGTCTTTCCACTTCCCGAAAATGGCTGGGCTGTTTGGCCAATACCCACGCACACCGCTGGCCGCTAGTTTGTCGCCGATGAGAAAGCGGCGGAGGCAAAGACATCGTCGTTTTTAAATGATGAGTCTCGTGCGTGCCGCATCTCGTGAGTGAAGTATTTATCCAGCTTTTCTCGACCATTTGCGCCGGCAGCCTGCCGTTTTCCCCAAGCGAGAGTTCCAGCGCCGGCGGTGGGTCTGTTTCTACCCGCCGCCGGAACGTCCGAATTTGAGGGCAGGACGTACGCGTGCTTCTGTATGGGTTTTGGCGGAACAACTCAGCCATTTTCGGGTAGGGGAAAGAAAACTGGGTACCCCTCTGGGGGGTGAGTAGCCAAGTTCGGGTACACCCTGTGGAAAGACCGTCAAGGTCGGGTAGGGGCGGGCGTCGGCCAATCAGATGGTGTTATGCGGGCGCTCCCAGCAGCATCTTGTAGGGGTACCCGATTATGGCCGTGGTTGGACCGGGTGTAGCCGATTTTGGCCACTGCTCATGAAAGAAGTCCAGAGCTGGAGGGCCACACCGCTCCGGGACAAAACGACAAGTCTCTGATACAAAAGGCAAGCACCGGGAAAGTATGACGTAAGCACGAGTCCGCAAGGCAATACTTCTCAAAGAGATAGAAGAAGACGGGGGAAAAGCAGGGGACGGGCGAAGCGTAAGCTGGCCAAAGGAGCAGCACGCCCCCCGTAAGAGACAGCAGGTTCGACTTCTTAGGGCAGCAACATGGAATGTGTGGACTTTGGCTGTAAACGGTGTGAATGGGTACGGGCGAGCCTACAGTGTCTTGCACGAGGCAGCGGAGCAAGACGTATCGGTGATAGGACTGCAGGAGACACGGAGGCCAGGTCAATTCGCAGGGGCGCGTTCTATTCTGCTGTGACATGGAGAAGGGTGGATCCCATGGGGTGGGGATAACCATTGAAGAGTATGGCAAGAGTTCACTAAGAAGTATATCGATGAACGCCTTATGGCCATGAGGTTTGAGGTGACGGGTCACTGCGGATAGGTCAACTTCGTTGCTGCTGACGCCCCATCCGCGCTCTTCGTGGTGTCCTTTACTGATGGTAGCATGTTTAATGATCTCAACGGTGTTACGGTTGCTTTCTATAAGTATGAAAATAGAGCCAGCGTCAGGGGTTGTCTACCACCCCATATGTTCGTCGTATATGCGAAATGGGTCCATCAGTGTGTTTATGTGGGCGAACCACCCATCGAGATTCATACCAAGTATCCACAACGGGTGGCGTCACCAACCCGGTGGGAGGCGAGGTATGAATGTATCGTTACTCTAAACAATCGTGCTGCTGTGAACTTGACCACGGGTATTCACGGAACAGTTTTTCTGGACGGAGAGGGGCGGAGCGGAGCAAAACGCTCCATGAGATTTCCAAAAATATATATTAAAAACACAAGTCGATCCGCCCTGTGACATGTGCAAAACAACTCGATCCGCTCCGATAGAACTATGTCCTCGGTACCTGAGGTGTCTCAAACATCCGTACAAACGTTTTTTTTGCGGAGAAAGAAGTTTGAGCGACTCCGTCACGTAATCCACCGTTGAAGCCGCGAAATCTACAATTAACGGCAATACCGCCTCGTGTTTTCCACGGAGTCGCGGCTTTCGCACGGCGCGAGTCTTACATGTGAACCTCGTGCGAACCAAGTATGTGGCCTTTGCATTGGCAGTACCATAATAGTGCCATTCAGAGAGAGTTTTTGTTTATGACTGGGGTTCGTGTACAAGCTCATTTGGCAGGCAATGACTCCTGATGGCCTTATCGAGATAGTTGTGTTCTTCATGTCGGAGCCCGATCTAAGTCCGGAGGCCAAACAGTTGGACCATACGTCATATGAATTGGGGAAACTGCCTGTGGCTCAGTCTTTTGGGCAGGCTAGTGCTGAATTTGTCCGAGCTGCTCGTGCGGGAGAGCAAGTGGTTAACGAATTCGAATCTCACTGAGTGTAGCGGCGTCTGTAGCTAGGCTTTTGTGCTCTCTTGTAGTGAGTGCCAGATGAATAATAGGTAAATGGAAACACCTGGAGTAGCTGACTCTAGTAGGTCCAACAGGAAAGGAGGCACAGCAATTTAGTCGTGCTGTTTTGTGCGTGTTTCAGGAACGAATAGGCCGAGGAAGCATCGATGTGGGCAATTGTCCCTTGATTTGATCTAGGCTGACTGACAGGTCATACAGCTCTTTCGTTCGATTGGGCCGTTGTGGCCGCGAGAACACGTACGTTGTAGCCGACGACCTCCATGCACAGCACGCCGCGCGGCAAAATATATTTTTGATTCTCGATCCCAACGTTTTTCACGACGTTGCAGGTACCCCGTTAATTTGTCAGATGTCCGAATGATTCGACCTTTTGTCTGACGGTGCCCCCAAATCAAGGACAAGGGTTTGCACGTCATGCTACAGAGGAAACTAACCCGCTCCGTAACTAAACGTGCTAAACGCACCGCTCCGCTCCATGGCGAAACGACAACAACCGTCCCGGCCCACTCCGCGAGCACCCCTGCCTTCAATTATGCACACCAGGTAACGCGACCCAGCGACTCGGACCATGAGTGCTAAAAGTAGCATGAGAGCCAGAAGCTTGCATGCAGTGACAAATGCTGGGATGCGACGGTGCTGCCTGGAATGTGCGCGAAAGAAAAAGAAGTGCGATGGCCTGACGCCTTGCAGGTGTGTGATGTATCGACATGGACGTTGGCCATGATATTGCTGCTGAAGTCGTGATGCTTCTTTTCGTCTCGGGCATTGCATGCAATCAACCCTGATCTTCTCTGAAGGTTAAACAACCGAAAAGATCGCCTGCCAATCAATAGCGCAGATACACGTGACTCGTGCCCAAATCGTGCCCAAAACATCGGTGACCTTCATCGAGAGCTCGAGTCAATAACATTGATTTGGGAACCCGAGTTGCTTTTTTCCCGCCACCATCACACGTTGATGCGCTTCGCGTCGTGCAACTGACACACTTCTTCCACCAAATAATGCAAGGTATCCCACCTACCTGAATCCCACCGGACGTACCGGTGTAGGCAATCGACGGCCCGGACCTACAAATCGTTTACCAGTCAGTGGAAGTACGACTGTGACCCCCCTCACGTGCGCGTTGTTTAGCCGTTGCCAAGAAACTGGGTTTCGATGCATCTACATCAAGCGGAAGTGGCACCAGTGTCAGCGTGGGCTCCAGCAACAGCACCATCCACGTCGTCCTGCTGCCATGCAGTCGACAGACTCATCATCCAGCGAATTCCTAGCCCGCGGCATGCTACCTTTGAAGAGGTCAGTTATCATCAACTTCAACAGAAAGAGTCATCTTCAGCTTGTATCACACAGACAGCTGTGTCTGCAACATCGTATCCGAGCTTCATAGTAGCAATGTTCGCAGAAAGCGGGCGCAGGAAAGAGAAGAGCGACACCGTGTTGAAATCGATTTCTGCCCGTCGAAGTTGGCGTATTCTGTACGTGTTTGCTCGTGTGAGCTTCGCCGTGGACCAGCACGTCCAAACACGTTTATGATGTGGGGTTCATCGAACCCGCAGCTACAGCTGAAGGAGGACAAAGGGTGTTCTCGACGTCGAAGAGGTCTACACGCCTTGCGTGTCATATCGGGCGAGAGGTTTTGGCATGATCTTGCCGCGTCTACGGACACGTTCTGCTACACCAGGTTCAGATTGAGGGCATCTCCGGCGACTGGTCTTGTGGGCATGCGGGAGAATGCATTCCTTGGCGAATTCTTCGGCTGCGTTGGGTTCCTGCCCCTCACCACCCCAAGGTGCAAATTTAACTTTAATGGCATACACTGAAGCGCACACAGCCGCAGGGGGTACCCGTATTGTCCCTCATGTTGCTATCGACTTTTCCAGGAGGGGCTGCGACTCGTCCGAGCGATGATAACTCGTAAACGCTCAATCGTACAATAAAAGATTCTTTTGCGATTCGCTGTTGCCGCCAGTCACATTCGTGGAGTGATGGTGAAGATGATGACGCAATCCACTGTCCAACAACAGCTGGGCGCTCTGCACGACTCCCCCGATCAAGGCCAGTTCGGCGCCATCTTCACCGAGGATTCCATCAACACGGGAAATCAGCTCTTGACGGGTCCCTCTGCTTGCACATTTTGGTGTGCAGTCGGTGTTGGGGCTGTTGTGAAGGGAAGCCCTGTTGAATCGGTGAGAACATGCTGCATTTGTTTCGGCCTACCCTTTACGACCAGAAGCACCGTTGTTCCCCGTAGCGTTGTGGCGCTGATCCTTGCTTGGTACTACCGCAGAATGTTGCGTGCAGCTGCCGACCACCACGATTTTCGCTACTACCAATGGCACAAGTTAACACCCCGCCCGCGCACTGCAACACCTCCAAAACATGTGTCACGAAAGGTTGCGAAGTACTCCCGACTGGCGAGAGATGCACTGGACGCCTACATTGGCCCTGTGAACGCCGAGGTCGCAAAGTGAGTCACGCCGATAAATTCGTGCTTCACGGGGGCAATCTATACCGGGACCCATGCGTATTTTTGTGGTATGTATCGCGTGGCACGTGTCTGTCCGAGAGAGGTGATGGTTCTTACAATTTTGCTGTTGAGGCCATGTACATCATTGGACAAACACGTTCCAAGCAATCTATGTTCCTGGCGAGGCAATCGAACCTTCGAAGCTAACGCCACACAAGATTCCACACGCCTTGCACCGCTCTCGTAACGGTCGATTTGTCTTCAGTGAGGTCGACAATACCGCCAGATGCCTGCCACCGTTCGGATATAAATGCTCTCGTTATTTTGACAAACTCCAGCGTTTACTCAGTCTAAGAGGTGTAGAATCTCGTGAGGCATACGGTGGTCCTCCCCGTTCGACTCCTTACACCACAACCCGTTGCCTCTCCCCGCTTCAGAGCGTGGGCGATCCTGGGATACTTCCGCGGTTCCATGGGAGACATGGTGAGCTCGACTTCGGTGGGAGGTACGGCACCCCTGGTAGTCGTGCCCGCGTCTTCCACAGGAGGATCACGCCTTCTTGCCCGTCGAAAGACCCGATTGCGTAGCCACCGCATGATTCCTATTGTCGACGACGCTCATTATATGTTGGAGATGGTCTCTTCTCACTGGGCGTTATCTTGTGACCCACCCACGTGTTTGTTCTGGCGCCATGTACGTTGTGCTCCGGTGCTTCAGGCGAGTCATGAGGAGTACCTGAAGCTTTCAGGCTCCTTCTTGATTGATTCCATGCAGCAAGGGTCAACTGACATGCTGCCAGCGGTGAGTGTGACGCCATTGCATTTTGTGGCACTGTAGCAAAGCCTAGAGATCCTTTCCTGCCTTGCTTGTCAAGTTGCCCAGAGGTTGAGGTCGACGAAAGTGTGGCTGTTTACAACAGGAACATTGCTGCACGGACAGCAGTAGACTGGCAGCACGGCCGGCTTCCCAAAAAGGAGATTCAAATCGTTGCCGTCCTACGCACGCCTATGAGCAGCTTTCCCCTATGCGCTAAGTCACGACGCAAACATCGTGTTGGATGTGTGCAAAGCCATCACGGCAGAGATCATCCTGGCAGCTCGTCTGAGAAAGTACCGTAGTATTCGCAGAGTGCGTTGATGCGCTTGGTAGCCGCAGCATCGCATTGCTCAGAGGTTGTTATCCCGATCACGGTACTGCAGTAGCGTCTTGCTCCTCTTACTTCATGCCGCTCGGCCGTCCGACGTTGGCACCATGTAGCTCATCGACGAATGACGCAGCGATGAGGTCCGGTGTAGTCTGACCGATCACTCCCAGAGTGCTCCCTTGAAGTGAAGTGGGGCAGGCATGTTTTTGTACCGAATAATTCAGGTCATGCTTCACTGTTGTGGTTCAGTGTTGCTGTCGTGCGCATCTGCTGAACTGTCGCATGCATGCATGTACCTTGGCCAGGGATTCGCTGAGATCGTCAGTCAGAAGGACACTGTCCAGGTGTACTCTGGACAACTAGACGCTGCGGGTATCGAGTCGTTGGGAAACCTTCGTCACGATGCTCCGCAGGTGTGTCCTGTCCCTCGTGGATGAGGCTGATTGGCTCACGGTGTCTTCGTAAAGTTACGCACACAGTACTTGTGGCTGCAGCGATGTGGGATGCCGCTCCTCAATCCTCACAACATTCCTTGTCCGCCACGGCACAAACAGGTGTGTGAGGTTGGGCAGTCGGCAACAGCCATGAGCACGGTACTCTTAGATGAACATGTGCGGTCGCCCACACCAGCGAAGACATTAGCAACAGAACATTTAAAAAGAAAGTAAGAAGTAGTTCGTCATCCCGCATTGAGCGACAATGCCTTCGATTTTCAGGAGTTTTTCTGCACTGACCTGTAGTACGACGTTTTTTTTTCAACTTTCGGCGAACTTGAAGGGCTTCTGAGTTTGCATGATCGAAATCTTCGTGAACTAGGGTTTGGAGGGTGCTGAAGATGACGTACGGGGTAAACGGGCAGAAAAATGTTGATGTGAAGAGAACAAGAGCAGCAACACGATACCGAAGCAGCAATGGTTGCTGCCGGTACCCTTGACGTTTCGTGCGACTTCGTGGGAACCTCAAGGCGGCAGGGAGTCGAGAGTGGTAGTGTTGTACTATGTGTTGTGCACGACTACGAGATCTGCACCTTCACCCTCTTCCGCTGCTACTTGTCACCCAGATCAAGCCAGCTGCATGCGAAGGGGACTTATATCGGTATGTTGCCCAGTCACATGCGGCGTTCGAGCAAGTTGTCTTCGAGAGAGCTTGCCAGAACAGTGCGACGCGCAGACATTCGAAAGCAGGCGAGACTTGCAAAGACAACGGAGGCGGTGCTACTCCGCACGGCAACGCCCCCCAAGCGGAAGAGGTGTCTGAAACTATGGTGGCTGCCCTAAAAAATGGCCTCATGGACTTCGAACACCTACAAGAAACAGCCGATCGGTGAGCAAATTGCAACCCTGCTTGACGGGTTGCTTTCAAATGCCATGCGGCATATCCATCATCCATAATGCCATAGAACCTTCGTTTCTGCACCTCCTCTGTTGGTCGACCCCTGTTTCAGCACTTTTTGGTATCAGCGCAGGGTTCTAACACCCTTTCACGCACCCTTCGTTCCCTTTCTCCCCGTGGCCGGCCTTCACCGACATGGCGAGAAGACCAAAAATTCGCGCGGGCGTCGGCGGTCTCCTCATCAACATGTACGTAACCCTGACAACATGGCCCTGACTGCTAGAAACAGCAAGATTTTTGTGTGTTCTTTTCGTATGATGGCCCACGCTGGGTTGACCTACGAGCACTTCAGCCTGTGTTTTCTGCCATACGAAACAACTCTGGGTATTTGAGAACTTGCACTACTGTCGTGTACAGCGACGAGTCGCTACATATCTACGACGCCACGTGCCGTGTTTGACAGAACCCTGGCATTTCAAAAAGCAGTAAATGGGGATGCTGGTGGGGCGCTGGAGAGGTTTGGGCGTTGCGTCGAGGTATTCGAGCGGTACCCTGGCTTGTGCCGGTACAGGGTACTATGGTGAGCCCAATCAATCGCATTGACATCACCATAGCTGACATTGATAGTCTCGATGGCTGCGATCCTAGATCGTGGCGAGCTATGGGACAAGCTGCGCCGTGAGTTTATAGGAGGAGAGTACTTACTCCTAGTGCCAGTATTGTTGTTCAATATCATTTGTGTGGCTTCTCCTGCGGAGGAGCTCGGCAACTAATAGTGTGGGACTACCCATAAATAGTTCTGGCATTCGTGGTAGAGGCATGTCAACTGGGTGTACGGAGACCGTTTGTGGTACGACATTGGCATTTTCATCTTGTGCTCCTGACCCCCACCGTACCTCCCACCATGTAAGGTGTCACCTTGCACACGCAGTCCTCGGGTCCCTAGCAACGATTGACGACTCCAGAGCTCGGGGACTGTATTCTCGGTTGCGGGAGGTCTACAATACGTCCCGCCTGTTTTCGTCTCTGCCAGCGCCACCTATGGAGAATTGGCGCGGGATATCTGCATTCTGCGATGATTTCCTGTGCAGGTGCGTGCGGGGAATCATTCTCCGCTATGACACATGCATTGGGGGTTCTCCAACAACACCAAGGCACACTTCTGTGCGGAAAAGCCGTGCCTGTCGAATTTCTCAAGAACAAAGCTTGACGAACTGTCTAGTCTACAGGAGCAAGGCTAGACGTTGGCCTTGTTTCGGCGTGAATGATTGCCGCTTCGTCATCGCACAACCGAAAAGCCTTTGGTATTGAAGTGCTCTTTTCCTTACATGGCACGAATTTCCGAGGACTCGAACCGCTTCAAAGCGTGACTTTCTCTTTACTTCATTTTGTAAATATGAATTATCGAATGAGATGGCAAATCGCCGGGTCGGGAGGGTCGTTTTGATTCGCTCTTGTCGGGAAAGCCCATCCGAATTTCAATAGAAATCGGTAGCCGAAACTTTAGCCAGGCTCTGGTACGAGTTTGTTGTGTGTTTTGGCGACCACGAGTTTCGACGCATGTTTGTCCTTCTGATTTACCGCCGAAGAACAGTTCTGTGGACGTACCATATGCCCTTACTCGTTGGCTACTATTTCGGAAAAGCACACACACATACCTACGTGGTGCTTACGTGGGCACGGAAGCCACGGGAAGATATCCAACGAAGGAAATACCGCATACTTGATAAGTGAACGAACTTATTGTGAACCTCGTGTAAGATGTGAAATCTCAAGAGATGTGTTACATACCATATTGTTGTTGGAACAACGTTTGAAGTACTTCGTTTGAAGAAGTCAACCCCCGTCCTTTCAACCATCCCACAGTGAGGAACAAACGGAAACGATATATGAATACGGGAAGAGATACCTAAATTTCCCCATGAGACCAGGAAAGAGTAAACACGCAGAGCAGGGCAAGGGACCCCGTCCAAAAAAGCGAACGGAACGCAGTCCATCGGTCCACTCGAGAGCTGGACCACTACGACTGTAGCAGCGTCTCCTTCCGTGTGGTTGTGCTTTCGCTCAAAAGCGGCGAATATTGGCTCAAGCGTTAGCCGACGACGTTGTTGTTGTGGCACTCCGTGTCCAAACCAACCCGTTCCACTACTGTTGACAAAGGATTCAACCCTCGCCCGTGCTGCCTCCCGCTGGTGCGTCAATGCATTCTTTGCAGGATATTCGACGGTGTTACCACGAGTCAAGCAGTGCGTGTTTTCTCCACCCCGCCCCTCTGCGCTAGCAACTGGGCCGGTTCACAAGGGACTCAATGCACGGAAGAGAATCTGCAGGCTGTTGATTGCGAACACCGCAGCAGCATCGTGTCGGCCAGTGTCACTCCCGACGATGGTATCGGTTCGATCATGGTTGCCTCTTGCAGCAACGCCGAGAAACCAATGGCATGTACCTGCTCGTGGGAATCGCAACAAGGTTTTGCGCCACAAATGAGCCCACCTGTCGAACCGAGGTTGTCTCCTTCGGCTCTCCACTTCGAATCGGTCAAGGGAGACACAAGTGATGACACTGACGTGTTCAGCGGTGTGGTCGAGGGATGTGGTGGTGGTGGTGGTGTCATTGCTGGCTCGGGGCCCCAAGTGCCCGATATGCCCGTGACATCGCCTGGGTTGAGCGAGGTCGACGGGACCGCGCAAGGAGATGATGCTCTTACCGCGGCAGACTGGCTGGATATTGCTCAAGCCATGATGCATGCAGGTGACGACAAGAGTCCATCGCTTCGGTGTTGACGATCATCTTTTCTTGTACCAAGTTCTGATGCGGTCTCGCATGCATAGCTCTTGGATGTTTATACGAATCGCCAGTGAGCCGCTGTTTTGCCCGTTGGTATAACAACACAGCAGTAGTCGAGCTACGACGGCTTTGTTCCAGTTTATCGGCAGACTCAGTGACGCTCACGCAGCCACGGTAAGGGTGTGCAATAAGGCACGATTTCACCGCTCGTCTCTACTCAGGCTTTACATGCATGCATTTTATCTTAGGGTGCCCTCTCGTTTTTCTGTTTGTCGGTTGTCTCCATGTTTTTTCTCGTTTTTGGCCGGGTTAGATAATCTTTCGGTTCGTTTTTTCCTTCTTGTCCTACAGTACGGGCTAGCAGACAAGTTAGGTCGCAGTCGGATCAAGGCTCAGTTTCTTGTCTTTCGCCACTGCCGACCACAGGTCATTACATGGTGTAGCGTAAGATCACCGCTGAGCTGTGTTTATGAGGCCTGTTTTCGTAGTTTTCGTGAAATGTTTGCCCGTTGTATCTCAACGAAGTACTGGCATTACTTGAGTGCGGGCCCGTACCGGATGCTACGACAGTACCGTCCTTGAAGAATTGTTTTCTGGAAGAATAATTTGTTCTTGTTCTAGAAAGGTGCACCCGTCTTTGGGTAGATAGTTGACTTGTGATCACGGAAGGCGTCCGCGTGCGTCAGTTGGACCAGTGCGGGTATCAGAAAGTACGTGACGGAGGCCGGAAAGAACTACTACAGACTTGAAGAATAAATGTGGGTAACATCATGGGCGGTTCCCGATAGCTGTGCCCCCTCACACCTGAAAAGCTTGGGTAATGAATGCAATTGAGAGATGTTTCCACCAGGAGATTCCCCGGCACGTTAGGGGTGCGTGAGGATGCTTTGTAGGGCATAGCTTACTGTGACAGCATTGAGAGCATGCTGTTCCTGCCGCGTCTGATTTCCGATCATGACCCAGTCACGAGCCATGACTTGATCACGAAATTGGGTCATTACCTCAGTCATTGTCGAGGTCATGCCACTTTCATGACCGCAACTTAGTAATGTCTCGGTCTCGACTGGGTCATGAATGGTTTGGTCATGACTGGTTTATGACCGGGCCATGACTCGGTGATGACTCGGCCGTGACCAGTTTATTGTTTTGGTATGACCAGGCTATGACCAGGACATGGCCAGATCATGACCGAGTCATGATCCATATAGACGGCATTGCGACCTTGACATTACCACGTCAGGGGCTGGGTCGGGATTGGTCAATATCTGTAACCTGAGGAACTCTGTCATGCCCCCCATGAATGTTCCATGACGTGATCGTTACAGCGGCGTGACCAGATCAACACCGAGATACCACCACCGGGTCATATGTCCGTCTTGATTGCCGCAAGGTTATGACTCTGTAATTGCATGGAATAGTTAGTTACGTCTTACGGAGTCAGCCCGGTCATGGCCTGGAAATAACTTGTTGATGGTGTGGTCGTCTCAACAGGTGATCGGCCACGACTTGAACGGACTCGGGAAAGGCGAGATGATTATTTCGCCATGGTCAGAAACCTGTATCACGAAAGGGCAAGTATGTATCACGACGTCTCAACATGTCGCTGTTCATGAGGTGAACCTGTCTTGCCCATAACTAGGTTGTGGTGATGAGGTTGATGCTGGTCGTGACGGTTGTGGCGGTGGTTTTGTTGTTTTGTGCGGTTTCCAACAAATCGTTCAGATCCCTGCTCAGTTCCGCACTTTCTGACATTCATACTGGTGCAACTTACGCGGGTGCCTTCCTCAAACGGTCAGGTTTTGCAGATGACATGTCGGAAAAGCGATAGGCAAAGGAGAGAGCCCGCCGCCCACCTGAGAATGTAGCCAGCTAATCCTTCCGTGCCGCCAAGCACAACTATCTGTTTCAGAAAATTATGGGTGCGCACGTCACTCGTTGCATCATATCACCAACTTCCAAATCCTAAGCCCCCGCCGGCTTCCCGCCGCGCACTGCTGTTTCTCGCGTTGTCTCGGTCACCCTTTTCCTTCTATACTTGCCTTATCGCATTGGCAAAGACAACGTGCGCCGTGTCGCGACTAACCCCGCATCAAAACGTTACCGTCCTCCCTAGCACAGATTACAGCAAAGAAGACGGGCGCCAACTACCCATCTAGCATGATTTGTGTACACCGCCGTCGAATGGGAACAACGATGGTCAACCGTGCTTGGAATGCGCCTGAGCTGTTCAGAATGTGGGAGAAAAATATGAGTATTGATGGTGGACGATCTTGCGGGGAAGCTCCGTCATCTGTCGGGGACGCATCATGCTTTAATTTTGAGGAGTGCCCGCCGTTGATGCAAACCTCTGGCACCTTGGCCCGTGTTGCTGGCAACCCGAGGGGGTTGTGAATTCCTTCATGCAAGAGCACGTGGTCGTGCCCTCTGAATCGATACACGTTCCGACGCTACAATAAAAGGCAATTGAAGCAGGGCCTATCGGGCAGAGAGACTTCTCAATATTGTCCGAAATTGCTGCATCAACAAACACCACAGAGATCGCTGGAAAGAGGAGGACCACGCTCTGGAAAACGACCCTACGGCGACGGGGGGGCGGTTGGTGGGCGTAACCGTGTGCGGTGTTGTCTTGGCGTCCCGCTGCTTGCCAAACAAGACGCGTAAGGTTGTTCTACTTTAGTAACCAACAGGGGAACAGACCTTAAAATCCGCAATCTGCATCATCAGGGGCTGGCACAAGCAAACCATATGCATTGGCAATATCTCCGGACTCTCATCATCAACTGTATGCAGCATGGCATGAGTAGTGTCCAGTCAGTCCACCGCGGCAATGATATCATCCTCGATCTCCTCTGGGGCCCCATGTACCTCTCTCAACGCCAGCGATGTCGGAGATACACCGGGAACCTGGGCTACCAAGTCAGAAAAATCATGACCACCCCCACCCCGCCATTGCTGAGGAAAAACACGTCAGTATCACTTGTGCCTCCCATGACCGATCCAAGGCCATTGTCATGTGTAGTAGACAAACTCGATCCTAAAGGTGGAATCTACTGCGGCGAAGGCTCTTGGTTCAACTCTCACGAGCTATTAGATGCCACTGGTTTCTCGTGGTTGCTGCAAGGGACAACCATGATCGAGCCCGCCGCGCCCTCGGGAGAGGCACCCACCGGCACGATGTTGCCACCTAGTTCCTCAACGAAACCTGCAGATTCACTTCCGGACGATGAGCCCGGCGTTAGCCGGTGCAGCTGCTTTCATAGTGCTTTTGGGCGTGGCGGAGAACACGCTGAAGGCTTTCCTCACTCGCGATGACACAATCATATTACCTGCAACGACCGGATCAGTGGGAGGCAGCACGGGTGAGGGTTTGAATATTTTTCCAACACTGGAACAGCATGGATATGACATGGAGTGCCACATCGCAATATCCTTGCCCAGCGCCCGAGTAAATACGCCGCCGTGATACGGGCGATAACGAAAACGGCCGAGAAGGATACTTCGAAAGTCGATTGTTGGTGGCTCCGGTTCCGAGTAGACCGATGGGCGCTGCATCGTCAATGTTTGTTCTGCTGCACCAACCCTTCGTCTAGGCGTGGGCGCAGCCGGAGCGGAGACCGTCGTGGGAGAAACACGCCTCCGTCTAGGCGTAGCTGTCACGAGTCGCTAGCACGCAGGGTAGAGATCTCAAGTGTGTAAGCAGTAAGTACGTAACAGCTCCCGCTCACGGCACGGTTTATGGTGCGAGGAAGGGGTTTATTGCTCCTGACAGGTGTTCCCTCATGCAACGATGCACACACACTGACCTCTTCTTGTGCAATCGAACGACTGTACCGAGTGCGATGAGTAGTGAAGATACTTGTACCAGCTGTCGTAGCCGATGTAGTGTCGGAGCAAAGGCCTCCTTGTGGATGTTATGGTCTTATTCTTTTAGTTCAAGCTCAGGATGGTAGCTTGGTTGTGAGCAGAGGAGGGCGAGTCCAGACAGCTCTTGCAGAGGCTCCGCTGAATGCGGCCAACTACCTCTGTGGGGTTGTACTTGCGGAACAATGAATGCCCCGAACCGTAACATCCCCCCTAGTATATTATCAACTCATAATATACTAACACCTCATCCGGTACTTATAACCAGAGGAATGGTAGAACTGCGAGGTTCTCCATCAACCGATATGCCTCGAAAGGGAACTATCCACCCGATACTTCACGCCGCCATCTCGTCTCTCTCTTTTCTCTGAGGGACAAACTTTCGACAAAACCCTCTCGTGAAGTCGTTGGCATGGAGAGCGATCTCCATGCCAGTGGAATAGACCGACATACCGCCACTGGCTATAAGTGTTATCACAATCATGACAGCGATTGCGACCAAGTCCTACAGGACCTACCAAGTCCACGCATGCACACTTACACACAATGGACGCACCAATCAAACATCGACTCGGTACCGCCTAACTGTGGAAACCCGAGTTCGATTCTCGGATTGGACACCATGTCACGAGTCGCTAGCACGCAGGGTAGAGGTCTCAAGTGTGTAAGCAGTAAGTACGTAACAGCTCCCGTTCACGGCACGGTT